TATGAATAATATTAATATTAACGATATTATTATTATAATAAATATAAATATTACTGCTATTATTATTATTATTATTATTATTATTATTATTATTATTATATTATATCACAGCGGCCAGTTGTTTCGCCGGATTTGGCATTGGTTACTAGTCGGGCCACACCCAGGGGCCTACTTTGTTCTATAATAATAATAATAATAATAATAATAATAATAATAATAATAATAATAATAATAATAGCAGTAATATTTATATTTATTATAATAATAATATCGTTAATATTAATATTATTCATATTTGTGTTTATGTTTGTATTTATAATAATATATTTATAATAATATTATATTTATAATAAAATCTGGATAGCTGAGTCTATAATCTCAATGCTGAAGAACCAAACATGGCTGTAAATAGACTACTCTTTTTTAAAAGACTCTAAAATTGACCATCTGGGACAAGTGAATTTATCTAATCCCATTACTGAAGATCCAACAGCCACATAAATTCAAACTACTGAAATACCTATGGTGTTTTTCTGCAGATTTAAACAGAAGATTTAAATATATCACAATCTGTCTTTGAAAAGTAGGAATATTGCTGTTATGATGAACATATTGATATCTGATAAAGAAGATCTGTTAATCTCTGTTAACTGTACAGTGTCTCAGATAAACAGAACCAACTGGGGACAGACAATTGGAAGGAAGGAAAAGAAAAATAGTATTTTAAGATGCTCTACAGTGTTTCAACCATTTTCAAAAATATTTTGCCAGAACCTCAAATATTTTTATTTACCTCAACTTTACTTCCTGGATCATAAGTAGCAGCAGCAAAATAAACTACCTCCTGAACTTCATCACGGGGACGTGCAGAATTTTTTCCAACTACTACATGGCCATTTTTAGTAGATGGTGGAAATGCAACAAAACAGTAACTGGGAGGTGCTACATCCATCCTAAAACATAAAAGGTACAAGTATATATTAAAGATATGAGCTTGCCTTATTTCGGGATTAGAACCTGTAGTAGAACTGGCTGTACAAACTCATATATAGGATTTTTTTTATTCATTTAAAACTATTTATTTAACAACTGCATATAACCTTATGCTAACCATGATTGATTGGATGGATATGAGAGTAATTACTATTTTCTATCTTTAAAAGGAATTAGCACATGAAAACTGAGGACACAATTCAGTTTTATTGATTATTGTTTTGAGTCATTATGCCTGCCCTGATAGTTTATTCCAAGATAAAATACCTTTATCACTTTTGATGAATGCCATACTAAACAAAAGAATGGCCAGAAAACAAACTCTCATTCTTTAAGACTAATGAAGTGGCAACTTGCAACAAATTTTTCATTGTCAAGAGCAAGATGCTCTTGGATACATGCTGTATATTAATTTCAAGGGCAATTGACTGTATACAGGAATACTATTTTTTCCACTGTAGAAAAAATTTGTTCAGCAAATGCCTTTGTCATTACTATGACAAAGTAAGCTTAACATATTCAGTATGCTAAAATATAGTTTTGATTAATATGAAGGTGTATTATTTTTCATCAACTCACTCTGTCAAGATAAATCCCAAATAGAGTTTGTATGTAATGTTGTCTTCAAGAATGGAATGGCTGGGGATGAATGCTAACCTCATCCTGAATTAAGAATACAAGAAATGAACAAAATTTGTTTGTTTTTTTCTTCTCTAAATTCTACCTGTAATCCAAGGCTTCTTTTCACATGCTTTCAAGAAACCCAGAGACACGTAAAAAAGATATGTGCTATGAAACTGGGATATCTGTCAAATCTCCAACTCCTGCTTCATTCTTGGGTACAGTTGTTACCATAAGTTATAAATATCTTATTAAGACTGATTCTCAAGCAGAATTTCTTGTAGTTGAGTTTTATTTTAAAATAAGGAAATGCCAGACTTGTAAAAAAAAATGCATACATTTATAGCATTAGAAATAGGCCCTCACACTATGTAATGGCTCACCCTGAAACAAGCAAGGAAAAGGAGGAGGAATTGTCTGCCAATCAGCTTTTGTTTCAAAAGGGTCAGCCATCAACTATGGGTGCAAATACAGTCACTAGGAAACAGCTTCTAGAAGGAGTGTGGGAAAATCAGGCTGGCTTTGCAATTTCACTGAACTGAAAAAATGGGAGATTGCTAGTTTTTCTGACTTATTACCCTAACATTTTGGTTCCATTAACCATGCTCAGATGCTTCCACTTGTCTGTCATAGATTAGAAACTCAGCTTACTAGAACTGGTGGCCAGATTTCCTTGAATGCTTATCATGACCCTTTTTTAGGATTTCTTCAAAAGTTCAAATATAATGGCCTATGTTTTTCAGGCAACCATTTCTATGGGACATTACTTCTCCTCCCCCTTTTTTCTTGCTTTTAAATCAATAGAAGCCAACAGGTAGGAACATTTATTGAACAGTATAAATAATCTCAATGACAAAATAAATAGCATCCTCCTTCATTATGTCTTATCTTTCAGAAAAAATGCCATTATAAACACTGTGATGGGGATAGTGTTTGTTTATTAAATATAACTATTTTAAAAAGATGGTTTTATGTTTCTGGATTCTTTACACATTACTCCAAAACAGGTTTCACAATTAATTTAGAAGATACATACAAGCGAGCTTGTCAAAGTGATCAACCTTGCTTCATAGTAAGAACACCAGTCGTCTAGAATCTCTATGCCTGTAGCTGTAGCACTCTTAGTAGTTGTGCAGAAGCAATTCTGACTGACTGAAAAAAAGATGACATCTTCTGATATCCAGCCCTCCCTGCCCTTTATACGCATCAATTTCATACCTCAGCTGCGAAACTTCTGATTAAAGATGCCAGGCCAACATCCTGCCCTCTGGTGGATTTTTATGACATACATATTTTTTCTAAATTATAAAGCATTAATTTACAAATAGTGTAGATTTTATTAGAATATTACATTTGTTATAGCTAGGAATTGTACTTGCTACAAAGTGATAATTCAATTGGACTTACCAAACCTTTGAGTAAGAAACTAAAAAGCACTGATCAAAATCTATTTGGGGATAAAACCAGGCAATTGTCCTCAAAATTCTATTGAATATTCTTTTGTTATTAGTTAGCCAAAAAGGTTGCTCAGAAGATGCAGACTTGTTACCCAGTATTTTGGTTGCTTTCACACATTGCACAACAGATTTTGTTTACATTTAGCATGCTGTTGAATTTCAATCATCATAGTTAACAAACTATGAATTATAGTGGAAATCCCCAACTGTGGCCTAAGTGTGAAATACATATCATGGTTACCAGTGGCCATAAGAGGATTTTGAAACCTTGTTTTTAGATAGTTAAATGTATATCTAAATATATAAATCTTTTTCTACCATAGTAAGTTCTAGATGTTTTAGACTGTAACTCTTGTCATCCTGAAGGGTGATAGAATTTCCAACATGACACATCAGAAGGTACAGAGCTGAGGTGAATCTGCCTTATATCTCATCATTTATTTCCTTCCATTTCAGGGTACATATTCTTTCAGCATGTCAGCTGAATGTTGATCAGTCCTAATAATATGTAAAAAATGGCTCTGTGACATTCAAGGAACAATTTGGTATTCCATCATGTTCTCCTATGTTATTATGACATCCTGCACCTTCTCCAGCTAGAATTTCAAGGATATAAAAGTAGTCCTCAATTTATGACCACAGTTGAGCCTAAATTTCTATCGCTAAGTGAGACAGCTGTTGAGTGAATTTTGCCCCATTTTATGACGTTTCTTGCCAAAGTTTAGTGAATCATTGCAATTGTTTAAATTAGCAACATGATTATTATGTGAATCTGGCTTTCCCATAGTTTTTGCTTGTCCAAAGTTTGCAAAAGGCAATTTACATGACCCATCATAAATATGAATCAGTTGCCAAATGTCTGAATTTAGATCACATTATATGAAGATGCTGCAACAGTTGTAAGTATGAAAAATGGTCACTGAATGAATTGTAATAAGTCAAGGACTACCTGTATTGAAGCATTGTGCATTTCAGCTGAGAAATTGTTCTTTATAGCAGATGTTGAAAACTTGTTTTTCCCCATTGGACTGTAGAAAGGAAGATCCTGCTGGTAATATCATTTTATTTCCCCAATACAGCTTTTCACTTGCTTCCATACATTCTTTTGTGTCCCTTGGATACAAGATGGTGGATCTGAGCTAGCCACATCCAAAAGCATTTTGAAGGGATCGTCCATACATCTTTCCTGCAATATTTATTGATTTGGGATATTCCAGAGAAGTGGGGGATAGACAGGGAATTCTATCAGTTTCCTCTCATATCCAAGCGATTGGGAGGATAGTCTTACTAATGAAATGAAGAAATGATGGGTGGGTTATTTTAATCACTTTAAGCAATTTGCCTATTCTACATAAATGAAATGAGTTAATGCCATATTCTACACCCCAGTGCCCTTTTTGTATTCATGAGTTACTTCCAATGATGTTCCACTTGCTTCCATTCCTTAAAACACCTATTGATTTGGAATATTTGGGACCAGGAGTGATGTTGATAAGAGTTGTGACAATTTCCCCTTTTAGCAGGTGACAAGAGGGAAATGGAAAGAGTAAACTGCTTTCTCCCTGAATTTGACTACAACATGCCAGTTTTCTCTTCTGGTTCAGGCAACAGCAAAACATGAAATGGGTCTCCTCAACTGGTCCACCATTAAAATGCTTCTCTGAGCAAGCAGCTCGTATTAAGGACCCCTAAAGTCCTTTAAGATTCTAGGATTTTATAACACAGGATTTTTTGGTGCAGGATTCTAAGATTGCATGATATGAGGAGCTGCAATGGGGCAGTGGTTAGAATGCAGTACTGCAGGCTATTTCTGCTGACTGCTGGCTGCAATTTGGCAGTTGGAATCTCACTAGCTCAAGGTTGACTTAGCCTTCCATCCTTCTGAGATCAGTAAAATGAGGACCCAGATTGTTGGGGGCAACATGCTGACTCTGTAAACCACCTAGAGAAGGCTGTAATGCACTGAGAAGCAATATATAAATCTAGGTGCTATTGCTATTGCTATATTGGACTTGTTTGATCATGCAAATTAAAACTGTATTTCTTCACAGATCTGCTCACAGGAAAGAAAGTGATTAGTTTCTTGGCATGGATAGGAAGACTAAAGAAGCAAAAAACTTCACCATTCAGAGGATGAAGTAACTGCCATTCATATAGACCACCTGGCCAACACCGTTGGTATAGTTTTAAATTCAGAACATCAAATTCTTAACTTGGATTCATTCCCAGTATCAGCATAAACTGTAACAGCTTAAGGTTGCCAGGCCTTTATACACATCAAACACAGTATTTCCTAAGACACTGTGTTATGTCACCCAGAAGCTAAAGTGAAAGGAAATAACCCACACTCTCAGAAATTTTGGAACTGTATATTTGATACATTTTCAAGAGAACACTTTGTATCCTTAAAAAGCTTCCTCTGGATGCAAAATAATTGTTGCTGAATATAACTGAATAGTTCTATATTTTCCAATGGTTTGAAAAACACTTGACATTTGCTTTAAAGGCCTTAGTCTTACTAGTAACTATTACATTTCATTGCTTCAAAAACAAAAAATATGTAGATCATTAGGACAACAATTCCAAAGTTATTTTGGAAATAACAATAATAGACTCAAGCTGTTGAGCTACCAACCAGCCCCAAAGGCTGTGAATCTCACCAAGATTAACCACATAATAATAATAATGGACAAGTCCCATAGTTAGGGACTTGTACTTCTATATTTCAAAATTTATATGTATTTTTTATGCAGTACCTCTTCTATACTTTACCCCATCATTTTATTTTTTGACATTTCAAAAAAAAAAAGGCACACCCATCTTCATTCACTATTATGCATAAGGATCCAGTTGGCAGATTAATAAGGGTTAGAAAATCGGATGGGATGGGATGGGATGGGATGGAAAAGAAGAGAAGGGGAGGGAAGGGAAGGGGGAAAACCTGTACTTGCAAATCAGGAATTGATCCAAGGATTATACTTGGGCTTATGTGTGCTTTGCTACTAACCTATGACTCCTTTCAAGAATGGCCAGAGATCTTGTATGGATGTATAGATAGAGGACTAGGAAAACACAGTTAAAATCTTACATCCCATAGTGATTTTGAATGTAACAATCATTTATTTGATTATATGTTATCTATAATACAAATAAAAAAGCACAGCTACAAATATATTAAAAAAAGAAAAAAAGATGGTATTTACCTACAAATGTCATTGGGACTCACTTCAATCATGGAACTGACTAAAATATACAAGACTTGCATAATAGAACAAATTCTTTTAAATAGATACTGGTATAAAGCAATGTTCTGGGCACATAATTCAATTTAAGTGCAAAAAGATTGAGGAAAAAATGCCTTTAGCAGAGCTAAACAGTTATATTAAAGATTGCAATCTTTAACCTACACTGCATTCTTTACATATCAGCAGTAAAGGCAAAGATTGAATCTTAAAATACAAAAACTTTGAATTACTGAGAATTACTGAATTAATACTGTAATGGTAATTTAAACTGAGACTGTTTAAAACATTGTTTTTCAGATTATGAGCCAGGACTATATTGCTCATAATTTTAGATTGCATCTAGCAGTTTGCAAATTGCAGCAAAGGTTCTTGTTTCAATCTGTCCCTCTCTATTATTTAAAGGCAGCCAACTGAGACAGCCCTGTAAAGATTTTTCAGATGATATGCATATACATATCCTTCAGATTATACATACATACACACAAAGCAGTAATCATATGCACAAATTTCATCTCCTTAAAAGATAAGTCATACCTGTAAATGAAAGAGATAGAGCTTATTTAACATTATGTATGATGATTATACTGACTCTGATTCCATCAGCTGTCAAAATCAGCTAGATATTTAACACCATAATTAAATGAGCATACTGTAATAAGCAGCTACAGTCTTATCTTAAAAGACCCACTGTTCATCTTGAATTATATACAATCTATAATTTATTCTAGTTTCAAGTAAGCCCTAAAAATTTGATGGAGTCCCCCCCCCCCACTTATCATTCTTTTATCAATTGGTGCATTCCAGACATGTTAAGACTACAGTACTTAGAAGGTCAGACAAATGGGGCCAAAACTGGAGAATAATAAAGGGAGTTGTCATTCCAACATATCTAGGCTGGGCCAGGTTGGAAAAGGCCTATAAAGCTTCAGTGAATCAAATTTTATATTCCACACACTATACTGTGGAGCATAATGTCATCTGATATTTGAGTGACAGGAAAAGATTTCCATGCATAATCATACAGGTTGCACGAAACCATGATTTGTTTGGTCCTGGTTTAGCACCTTAAGAAAAACTGTGGGGGTTGGTTCATTAAACCATACAGCACCACAGTATTCAGACCTAAGTCAGTGAGTTCTGACAACATGCCAACCAAGCCAAATTAAAACTGCTTAGCCCAATGCATGAACCCAACCTAATGCTAACCCTGATCAATGCATTGAAGTAGCGATTGTGAGCCACAGACCATAGGCCAAAGCTTTTAAAATAACTTTTTGCTGGATGTGATCATCCTCACATCCTCTTGCAAAAATAACCGCCTACTGTTGAGGCATCACTATCCTAAAAGCTCTGAAGCTCTTTCTGATCCTCCTGGTTTCTTTCTAGTAAAAACATCCACAAGGAAGGGAACAAGAGAAAAGGCAAAGGCGATCCACAGCCTTTTCGTTTCCTCCCACAAATCCGGCTGCAGCCTTGGGAGACTCCCTGAGGCGATTTAGACTGGCGCTGATTGTTCATCATCCCAAAGCGCTCCGCCGCTCGGAACCTGAAGGTTGCAGAGCTTGAAGCGAGGCCGGGCTGAAAGGGTTCACATAGGTGATGCGCGGCAGCGGGCATGTCCTTGACGCCCAGCTGGCATCACAGCGCATCCTTTCTCCCCCTTTCGGCAAGGAACGACTCACCTCTCGAGCCACCTTCGAGGCGCTTTTCCGTGGATCTTCCTCCGCCGGAGGCTGCTTCTCTTTTTGCAGACACCAGGGGGAAAGAGGCTCGGCTCCAGGTAACAGCCAGGCTCCCACCCACGTGAACAACTTCGCCAGCAGCACCAGAAGAGAAAGAGGAGGGAGGGCGGACGTCAGCGACTACTCTGCCACCTCACCGCCCGGTGGCGCCGCCTTTGTCGCAGCAGTTGACGCTCGCCTTCCCTGCGCTGGGCTCAGACGGCGGGGCTGCTGCGGCGAGACTAGGGCGGGCGACAGCGGGAGGAGGGGATTAGAGCTCTTTCTATCAGACAGCGGCGGAGGGGGCACCTCGGAAACATCGGCCTCGCCCAGGGTGCGGAATATGAGCGCCGCGCTTCTCAGTATGAACAAAGTGACATCTCAAACCAAGTTGCTAAGTAGGAGGGAAAGGTAGAAATAATAACATTATTTCCCTCTCTTTCCCGAACCCTCCAAGGTGGGGTCCAGGAAAGCTAAGAAAGCTGAGGTTGATGTTAATGATTTGTCTAAAGCCCCTTTTGTTTTGTTGATTTTATTTTGGTATCAGATTATTATAGTCTGAACTGCCTATCAGATTTTATGTTTTTAGCTGTTTTGGTTTATTTATTTTTTTAGTTTTATACCCTACCAGAGCAAATAAATAAATAATAATAAAATAATCTGAAGAATTATAGTGATTGTGATGGGAGAGATAAAGCAAATATGTTGCAAGAAGCAAAAATGTTAAACTGGAGACTCTGGATTCGCTTTTCATAGTTCCATATTAGGCTGACACTAAAATGAGTGAGGAAATATGATTGAGGCAGGTATGTGTCCCCGTCCCACCTTAAACCTTACTGCTATGTTGCAAGATCACTTAATTTTTATAATTGTGATAGCAAATAAAATAAAATAAAATCCAGACATTAGAAAGATCAGCAGGCATATGATAGGAAATACCTAATTGGTCAAATGCTGTATTATTATGAAATATGAAATCTTTTGTGTGATCTGCCTTGAAATGTTACAGTGCATTTCCTGTGCTGCTCCATTTTTTTCTAAGATGTTCCATTCCATTTTTAATAATATTTTCAGACCACTTATTGGGTAGGTTCGAGGGATTTTCCTATGAAGTATTTTTGAAATTCCCTAAACCTGCTGATGGCTTTCCTTTGTCTTTTGACTATGTCAGATAATTTAGTCTATTATAAGGTACTCTACATAGGACTGTCCTTGAATAGTTGTCTGGAAGCTTCGATTGGTTCAAGATGCGGTTTTGCACAAGCCTAGATTTGCACATTTCATCTTGCACTTTTTTAGGAGCTGCATTGGTTGCCGATTTCCTTCAGGTGCAATTCAAGGTGCTGGTTATTACCTTTAAATCCCTACTTAGAAAGCCCATGTTACTTTACTTCAGTGGTTCCCAAACTTGGCAACTTTAAGACTTGTGGACTTCAACTCCCAGAATTCTCCAGCGAGCTGGCTGGAGAATTCTGGGAGGTGAGTCTTAAAGTTGCCAAGTTTGGGAACCACTGCTTTACTTGAAGGACAGCCTCTCCCTACTCAGTTCACCAGGACCAAAAGCAAGGCATTTTTCAGGTCCCATCCATTAAGAAAATACAACTGGTAAGATCAAGAAAAAAGGCTTCCTTGGTGGCAGCTTCTTTCCTATTGAATAAGGTAATCCTCAATTTATGACCACAATTGAGCCCAAAATAGTGTTAAATGATAAATTTGTTAAGTGAGTTTTACCCCATTTTACAACTTTTTTGCCACATTTGTTATGTGAACCACTGCAGTTGTTATGTTAGTAACATGGTTGTTAAGTGAATCTGGCTTTCCCATTGATTTTGCTGATCAGAAAGTCATAAAAGGGATCACATGTCCCCAGAATACTGCAATTGTCATAAATATGAACCAGTTGTCAAACTTCCAAATGTAAAGCACATGACCATGGGGATGCTGCAATGGTTATAAGTGTGAAAATGGTTATAAGTCATTTTTTTCAGTGCCATTGTAACTTTGAATTAAGTGAACTGTTATAACTTGAGGACTACCTGTACTGCTCCTGCTTTATAATTTTCAAGAACGCCCTGAAGACATGGTTCTATAACAGGAGACCTCAAGCTGTCACAGAACAGATCAAGTTCCTAGTGTGATTATATCAGTTGCTGCCATTGGGGAAAGGGCAGTACTGGTGGGGTTTTATGTTACGGATTTTTAACGCTGGAAGCACCTAGACTCCCTTGTGAGAATTGGATAGCTGTGTAAATGTGTTAAATAAATATATAAGTAAATAAAAGTTCTTGCCCTAAGACCAAGAGATGGTGACGATGAATGATAATATAATGGACATATATTTTGTCACTTCTACTTCTCTTTTTTTTTAACATACTAATATTGAGGAGTGGGAAAATACTGAAATTGCATAAAATCCTCAACAGCTTAAATTACAAAAACATCACATTCCTGTGTCTACTTTCAGGGAACTATACCCAAATTGGAAAGAATAATTATAGTATACATATTTCACTACTGATGGGGAATTCAGCCTCACAAAGTCTGCCTTAGAGCACTCAGATATGGTAACTGTAGGATTCTGACTAGGCTCCCCTATATTGCTAAGCCTCTTATTAAATTGTTAAGTCATGACTTATTTAAGCTATGCTGATTGAAAACACACAACTATGGTGGTGTGCCTACCATATTGACCACAGGAAGGCTTATAATATTAAAAATCAACTTACTCAAGAGTAAAAATAGATTTGCACTTCCAAAACTAAGCTACAGAGATATATTGTCTAGGTCAGGGGTGTCAAATTGGCCGCCCGTGGGCCAGATGCATCATATGCAGGCCACGCCCATCCCAGCTCTGCAAAGGGAAAAAAACATCATGATATATAATTTGATGGCAATGTGATGCAGTGAGTTTGACACCTGTGGCCGAGGTCATTCTCATTTAGCAACCGTTCTATTATGACAATGATGAAAGAGTAATTTTACAGCCAATCCTTGTATTTACAACCTTCACAGTTTTGTGAAGCAAAGGAAAGCTGAAGTAAGAATCTAAGTACAGTTAGGATTTTACTTAGCAACCACTTTACTTAACCAGATTGCTATTAAACAAGGACCATCTGTAAAACTCCACCAACTTGCCAGAGCTATTGAATTCCAATGTACAACTGAGCTACACTTACAGAAAAAAACCAGAGAAATAAAAGTCTCATTTGGAAAATCTAAACTCCCTACACAATGTAAGGGAAGAACTCAGTAATTCAAACCCATGTCAACATGACAGACCTAGTTGCCATAAGGGATTGCCTGCTCTTTTGTTGTAGAAGCCTGATGGTTTGTGTCTTAACTCACAGACAAACAGACACAAAGCAGATCACCTACTGTTAAAGTAATACTACCCACCCTACTATAATAGGGAAACAGACATGGTTCTCATACTAATGGGATTGAATACCTGAACATAACATTTCCTATTGGTATATATAAACAGGACATCATAGTAAGTGAAATAATATCTTGGTTTTGTTTAATCTAGTATGCAAATCCAGCTAACCATAATTTCTTTAGTAAACCAAATTGAAAGCATGACTTACCAAAACCCAATAAACCTACATTCATTTTTCAAAATAGGGATCAACAGATTTGGAAGGCAAATAAAATAGTGTGAGTTCGACTGACAATTTAACTCCAATTCAAAAGAACTGTTCATACTGCACTTGGTTTATATAGAAGAGAGAAAATCTTGCTAAGCTACAATTTTGAGATCTATTGGGTTTTAAGTAGGTCTTGAAAAGAGCATCAGGACCCAAGAACTAACCCCCTCCTTAATTGCTTTCATTCTTTTGAATTGTGAAAAAGAAGTGGTTTCTTTAATACCGTAAGGTCTTAAGTTGCTTATATGAGATACTGTAATCATTTCCAGCAAAAAGCAATATTTTATTTTTTATTTTTTTTAACAAAAAATGTTGCTGATAAAAGAGATCTTTGGTCCTATATAAATTATACAAACAATGAGATCTACTAACACAATGTGACAACTATCATTTAAAATATTAAGAGTTCTAAGAGCACAGAAATGAAATACTTGAACAACGGATGTATTCTTAATAAATACTTCAATGTAAACAATTGTATTTTCAATATTATTTGTTTTTGGAAATGTTTTAATTTCATGTTCTTCAACACATAATGCTTCTACCTAAATAAAAACCTTAAAATATTTAAGTCCTATATTTAAATATTGTATCATTTAGTGTCAGGAATAGATCTTGTAGAAAAATAGGTGTTATAATGTATGCACACATTGATGAGTAACAGCTCAAAATTTTTTTTAAAGAACCATTCATTTTGCAAACTTGCTTTTTTTAAGTCACCTTTTACACAATGTTTCATAGTTCATCATGCTTATAAACAAATTCTCTTGCAGATATAAAGCCATCATTGTCCTCATCTTCTTTATTAAATATGTCTTTAACCAAAATATCATGGTGGCTTACATTAATTGGTGCACCATGTCTTTCAAATTCCATCTTCAAATACTTTTTTACCTTTGAGACAAAGAAAAAAGACCAAAATTTAAAATTACAAATATGCATTTAAAAGCAGATAAGCATAGATTTACAGAGAGGAGCCACGGTTATTGAGAGATCTTTTTTTAGTACACTTTGTAGCTTCACATAAATATTATCCCTTTATTAGCTAGCCAAAAGTGTAGGAGGAACATAATATAAAAGTAGATCCATATATAATCCAGGATTACATATTTATTTATTTAAATTGTATGCTGCTCATCTTACCTGAAGTGATTGTGGGCAAACTTACAATTAAAATATACTACAAACATTAAAATAATAAATAAGAATCAAAAATTTAAAATTCAATTAAAATAAAACTAACTGGGATCAAAAGGGAGAGGGCAAAGTGCATTCAGAAAAGGATGGGCTATTATCTATTCCACTAACCATTCCAAAGTGCCACATCCCAATTGGGACCTCAGACTAGTTGGCATAACCATGTCTTCAGGGCCTTTTGGAAAGCAGAAACGATGGGTGCATGCCCAGTTCTTGATTCATCTAAACTTTCCTTCAGATAATATGTTGAATTACTGTGCAATAGAACTCTGAAGGCAGAAATTGTTCAGGTCTAATGTAGCTCACCTTGGAATGAAAATTTTATTTATAGACACCACATTTTCATAGAACTTCAAAGGAAATGACAGCTTAGATATTGTGCTGCCCCAGCAGTATAGTGTAGGAATTAAGAACTCTCTCCTTTAAGAAACTACCTCATGGGAAATGTAGGCAGAAACTACCTTATGGGAAATTAGTTCCATGACATGTGATCACATCTGTGTTTCTGATTGGCCACTGGGGCATTCTGCCCGCGTGCAAAGTTTATAGCCGGGCAGTTTAAATGCCTTTGTGAACCGGAATAGTAGTGCTTATATCTCCGCTCAGCATGGGAGTGAAATCATCATCTTTTTACACCACATGATCGGACAGATTATGGAAAGTCAGAAATATCTTAACACTGAACTGTAAGTTTTGCTGTTAAGAATGTCTGATAATAAACTTGATCTGAGTAAGATTCCTAAGCATGGAGTTAACTGCATGCTCCAAGCAAGCCTACAACACTCGAGGCAGAACATACTGTATATCTTTTTCTATACGCTGCAGAATACATTAACAAATTCACCTCTTCTTTAGATAGCTTCCAATCATCATCAAGATCCATCTCTTGAAAGGACTCGTGAGATCTTGGTCCATTTCTGATTTCTAAAAGGTCAATGTGGAAGATCAGTGTGCTTTCAGGTGGAATTTTTCCTATGAAATAAATAAACAAGAAATATATAAAATGGAGATCACATTAAGCCTAATACTAAGAACATAACACCGATTTTGTTATCTAGAGTTAACCAAAGTATTGAAAGATGTCTAATTAATTTAGAATGCAAATCCATGCACACTCAATTAGAAGTTAGTCTCATTGAACCTTTAAATGTATCAAAATTACAGCTCTTACAGTTTAGCACCCCTGAAGGCACCAGAATAATGGACAAATCTTCTAATTATATTATCTTATTGTAAGTACAAAAAGATATCTAATCTTCTATAGTTTACAGTTCAACAAATGTACACATATTCTGTTTATAGCTCCATCCCATTTGGATTATATAAAGGTAATTATTTTATGTGTTGTTTCTGCAATGTTTGTAACATTGAATATGGCCAGAAAATATACCTAGGTTAATCTGAGGAGAAAGACTTGTAATATTTCTCTTTGTTCTATAAAAGTTAAGTATAAGAAAAGTAAAAGTGAGAACACAGAACTGGCTTCAGTTCAAATTTATGTTACCTTGTCTACATTACTTCATTATATCTTGTAGCAGTTAGATATGTGGATGCATGTGTTGTTGTAGTTGCTTCTGTAGCAGAGAAGCTGGAAAAGTACCAGGACTGAAGAAGGAAGAGAGGAGGTGGAAAGTAAAGGCCATAGTGGTAGAAGTACTTGACGCTATGACTGTTACGCTGGGAGAATGTCACCAACAGATTCCAACATTAAACAATCTGCCCAAAAGAATGCAGTGCTTGGAAAAGCTAAGATACTGAGTAGAACCTACAAACACCCAGGGGTTCTATGGAGCACCAAGGATTGAAGAAGACACCCAAAGGATGAAAAGGGTGTGTGTGTGTGTGATGTTATTTTATTAGAATAAGTTACATATAAACCAGCAGTATACTCCTATATAAGAAAAATAATTCTCTTTATATCAATGGAAATAATCAAGTTAAAAGGATATCAAACTAGTTTAAATTAGCCAAGGAATATTTCTGAATATATAAGCGCATATGTGTATGCAAAAATTAGACCATGAACCTGATCAAATGTTTCACTAAATCCATAAGTGAACAGAAATTGATACAACTATTTTATAATCCAAAATTAAATACAACAGCTCTCTATAAATGTTAATGCATAGTTTTTATTTATATGGAATTGTTTACAGACTCAAAATAAATAAATAAAACATTAGCAGGTGCAAAGGTTTGGAAGGTCTATCGGTCAATACTTTGTAGCATCTCCTTTGGCAGAAATAACTGCTTCCAAAAGTCTCCTGTAGTCAATTAAAAATCTTTTTGGTCTTGCATTTGGATTCCCCTCCCCACTCTTACTTATAGAACGCTTCTAGCTCAAATGTCCTTCATGTTTGAGATTTCCACAAGATGTTCAGTATTATTCAAACTTTGGGCTACAGAGGTATGCTAAAGCATGTTTCTTTCTTTTTTAAAAGCATCTCATGATTGAGGTATGTTTCAGATGGTTGTTTTCCCAACAATATTTTGAATCTATAAACACAGACTAAGTAAGTATATATTACAAGATACAGAAAGATGCTGTGTTTCCATGCAATTGTATTATGTAACCTGGGTAAAGAGATAAATATTGGTAGAATATATGATTTTATGAACCATAATCTTATAATTATATGATTTTATGAACCTGAAAGTATTACCTTTGCCTTCTTTTCCATAAGCTAGGGATGAAGGTATTGTTAATTTGCGCTTCTCTCCTACACACATCTCTTTCAAACCTTTGTCCCAGCCTTGGATAACTTCCTTTATACCAAGAGTAAACCACGTTGGTTGGCCATTATTATGCTTGTGACTGAAACAAATAAAACATTCCCTTAGGACATTCAGTTGAAAAAAAAATCCTGTTGCTGGATCAGATCACAGATTTAATATTTCAGTATTCTGTTCATGAAAGCTAATGACAGGCTAATTGAAAAGCCATCCCATTCTATTTCTTTCTATAATTTACATGGCAAACAGAATTACAGGATCCGATGAATTATTTCCTGGAACAAGTTTTGAAAACTGAAGCCGAGGAGTGTGAAGCCCCCCAGTCATTGCTAACTAACTCAAGCAGTTCTCATCCTTGGCTTTGCTAGGTGTGGATGCAGGAGTGGTAATTCAGCAATTTCTGGAGGGCCCTAGCCCCATTTTAAAGCATAGACATAAAAGTGGACAGATTTTAAGATCTTTTCTCCTGATTTAGCAACTGAAGCTATTAATAATAGCACAATATAAACAAAAATAAGTAGCTTATGTTTGCACTAATTGAAATCTAGGGTCTTCATGATAATCATTAGCTTAAAAGTATATCAGGAATTTTAAAACTTTGCAATATTGCAATGTTCTTGTGTGATAAATTGGGAGGAGAATGTCACAAAAATGCTTTTAATTTAATAATTAACAATGCAGCCAAAATCTCCAATAAGGAATGAATTTGGACATCCTTATTGCATTATTAATTTCTGGAATCTGGCTTTTATTCTTAAAACAACGTGATTTCTCATTTATTTTCTAATCTGTAATTGTTCTTTATAGCTTTTTTTTTAAAGACCTCACTCAATAGCATGCTTACAGCCTTCTCATTCGTTTTCTGAATTCTTTTGGTACAGTAATACCCAAGGAAATATTTTGCTGGGAATTCAGAGTATAAGAACAAACTTCAGACATCATTTCCTTTAGTTACACATCGTACTTACTTACCAGTTTAAATATGTTTCTATTATCTATCGGTTACATTAATGGATACAAATATTGAATGTCATTAGTATATAAAGATATTCCAGAAATTATAACCAACAGAGATGGAAGAAGCAAGCAATATATTTGACAGAAGCTGAACCCAATTACTGGAGTCAGTGTCAATAAATTACAAATAGATGCAACAGCTTGTCGCAAATATGCTTTTTGTCAATTTAATTTTTAGTAAAATACCAAATCTTCAAAATACACCATGCTCTAATCACAGAAAATTAAAAACGTGATTGATTTAGTGATAGATTGTAAATTTGCAAGATGTTAACATTTAATGTTTAAACATCTAATTCAGACTTCATTTCAGAATGTTTTATAATGTAATTAGACAACCGTGAGACATTGGGTCATTGTTTCACAAAATATTTACCTTAACAGCGAAACAGAATAACCAAGGGCAAAAAAAGCAGTGGGAATGGGAACCACGTCCAACTTCCTACAGATGACTGTCTTTCAGCAACTGATGATGTAACAAGTCTACCTAGCCTCCAGACCAGAGGTCTAGGATGAGTTAGTCTACTTGATTTCCAGCAGTTGAAGAAGGACCTGGTCTCTGGAGGGCTGGGGTAGGACTGGTTTACAGAAGTTTCGGATGACAGCAGAGAAGCATAGAAGTAATCACAAATCTCCCAAATTTCTATCCCTTGGGAATCATGGATCACAGTTTCTGGATATCTTTTATAATGTATCCAAGGAACTTTGAGGTACTTGATTCAAAAATTGTTGCCCTATGATGCACTATAATTTCACCCAGTAAAAGTTACAGAAGAATTTAGTAATAGATACTTTAAACTTCTAAAGAATACAATATACCTGGTAGTCCATGGAATTCTTGTGCCTCTTCCAATGAAAAATAGCAGATAGAAAACTGATTTGTAAGCCAAATAATATTCAAGATGAGATCATTCCTGAAGCAAATTTTAAAACAAATGACTGTCTGTGTTGCTCATACACCTCCAGGGGTATTGATCCATAAACTAAGAACACTTTTATTATATTCATTTATATTTATAAAAGTATGATGGTACAAAAAGAAAGAAAGGGAAAGAGGGTCTTTCCGAAGTTAACCAAGACTTTGCTGCAAGAATGGTTTATCCTACTTCTGGATTTACAAATAAAAGTTAAAAGTGATCTTATCCAAAGGAAAATCTCACAATTCAGAAAAACGAAAGTGTATGTAGTAATAGTTATGACCCAATTGAGAATAAATCCACAATATCCTAAAAACCCAATATGCCTATAATAAGGCCACCAAATATTTCCAATTAAGACTACATCATGCATTTTGATTTTGCATATTAAGGATGGGCCACTTTTAAGGGCCATATTCAAAGAATAATGATAAAAGCTAACATATCTTCCACTATGGTAAATACTGTTTCCATTCAAATATCCCATTGAGCAAAAATGTGATTTATTTGGTTAGTGTGTCTGAATCTGCAGAACAAATACTTACGTGGAATGAAACAGTGAGCCATCTTTCTCTAAATATCCCTCATAGTGCACCAACATCAGGTCTCCAAACTTGGTCTTCCTTTTGCAAATGAAAGGTTTATGGAGAACTTCGATTTTGACTTCTGGTTCTGGAATGAGAGCACCATTCACCAAAGCCAGTGTCCCAAAGAGAATCCAAAAGGTACCTTCCATTCTGGTTACTTGAAGATGCGCTTTTCAGACTGAAAAAGCAACCGGCATGACATTACATGCACCTGACCATTAAAAAAATAATAATCCAACAATCCTCAAATAGAATCTCACATTACTAAGGAATGATCTAAGATCACATTATTTTTTTAAAAGCCCTCTAAAATATACTGTCTTTACTTTCTAGCGTACTTAAATTATATCTTCTGAAATTCAACTTCATAGGACTTTAAAACGTTGGACGTTGCAATAAAGGTGGAGATGGAAAAGGCTAACCACGGAGCCGAGATTCCTCCCAGCCTTTGTATCTCACCAGCTTTCAGTCTCATTCACCAGATCCGCAGACGTGGCAAACGTGGTCTTAAAACCCGCAGAAAAGCAGACAAATCTCCAAGTATTCGTATCCATTTAATAGCCACCTCTCCTCTTTCTCCTTTCTGGTTGGCTGAACGCGAGGGCTGGGTTTTACGCCAGCCACTCCATTGGGAAACTGACCCGTTCATCTGCGAGGCGGAAAAAAAAACGGGGAAGCTCTCTCATCGCTGAGCGACGATTGGTCTCCCAAAAATTCTTGCGAGAGAACGCCGCGCATATATTTTGGAATCCCTCAACACAATACCGCCGGCTTCGGAATGCCATCATAGGCTGACGCCACGCATGGATCCGGATTCTCATTGGTTCCCAAGAACTCATCTGCTCTCTTGGTGTTCTAGCCGCGCCCCTTTTCTAATCACATGTAAACTTTGTATTCAAGAACGTATTTACGTAACTCTGCGGAGTGGATGAAGCCCGTAGCTGTAATTAAATCTGCATTTCTACTCCAGTAGCGTAAGGCTAAGTAGTTGGCTGGTAGGGGGGGGAAATAGGGCGGGGAACGAGACAGGAAGGCGGGCCGGACTTCTGCCAGCCTCAGGATGGCCTTGGCTGTCCGTGCTTCAGCTGTGGGGCTGAGAGCTTAAAAGTTTCCCGGGGGAAGGCCAGGGGCAAGGTTTCCCCTGTCCCAAGCAGATCTGGATGGGGGGACCTTGTCATTATGGAGGGGGTACTATACAAATGGACCAACTATCTAAGCGGTGAGTATTACCCGTCCTACCTGGTCTTTGTTAACCCGCTTAAGTTGCGCCATTTCGGCAAATCCTGAACTTGAAGCTGGAAACTGGTTCCTGTAACTAAAAGAGCGAGGTAGTGACTTTGAAAACTAGGGAAAAAAGGAAAATGTCCTGAGTGCCTAATTTAGATGCTGCTGGCTGTTGGAGGTCCTGGCGGGGGGGGGGGGAGTATTAAGAGTCTGAGCTCTGCTGCTTTGCCTTGAAGAATCGAGGGATCCTGGCTTGGGAGGACAGTCCAGTCCTGGAAAATAACTCGCTTGCTAAAGTTTAAATTCAAGTTCAGAAATAGAAGGAGTTGTGGGAAACCATGCAGATGCTGCCCCTAAAGGAGAAAGAATTGGACAAAAAACGGGACAGAGCACCTCATTTAAGCAAAAAGGGATTATGCACCATCTGAAAAAGTTTTTTTTTTGCCTAGTATCCATCAGCAGTTAAGTGATTGGAAGGTAAGGATACATAGTGCTGCCAATGTAGTGAACTACGAATAATTAACATTTACAGTTTTTCTAACCTGCTCTTTAAAAAAAAAACAAATTGGAGACATGGTTACTATAAATTATGTAGATGCCATCTCCAGCTTAATTTTTTTCAAGCTGTTTTCATAGGACAAATTGTATGAGACTAGCTTTTAATCTCCTGATCATCCTCATTGCTCACTTTCAAATCAATTTCTTTGTGATTTTCTTATAAGGTAGTCCAGGACCTACAACTATTGAGCTCAAAATTTATGTTGCTAATCAAGGCAGTTGTTAAGTGGGTTGTGCTTCATTTTTGCCACAATTCTTAAGTGAAGCACTGAAGCTGAGTTTTTCCTGCAGTCGTGAAGCACATCTGACTTCCTCCTTTGACTTGCTTCTTGGAAGCTGACTGAAAAGATTACCAGTAGTGATCACATGGCCCTAGGGCAGCATAATTGTAATAAATACATACCAGCTTCTTGGTGCCTGCATTTTGATCATGTGATCCTAGGGATGCTGCCGCAATCATAAATGTGAAAAGTAGTCATAGGTCACTTTTTCAGTGCCATTGTAAAGTTAATGGTCACTAAACGAATGGTTGTAAATCAGAGACTACCTGTATTAGACTCTGTCAAATCTTGGTCTAAATTTTGTGGCTCTCTGCCTAATATCTCTTAATTTTATTAGAAACTGCTAATGAGTAACCTGTGAATACTATTTTGAGTAGGCTATATATCCACTTAGTTGTTGCTCTATTCAGCCCACACTTAATTTGCTTGCTAATCAGAATGCCTGTGGCAAATACTTTGCTGAAATCCAGACAGTTAAATTCATTTATTTTGATCGCAGGTTAGATTATTAAGAAAAATTGGACTATAAGAATAGTAAATTTAAACAGAATCAAATTCAGTGCATTCAAAAGCTATTCAGTCTCCCCTTCACTTTTGTCAGTTTTGTTATGCTGCTGCCTGATTCCTACAGTTGTTGAGATTCATTTTTTCTCATTAATCTACACTGAGTATCCTATAATGACAAAGTAAAAACAGAATTTTAGAAATGTCTATAAATTTATTAAAAAGGAAAAAGTGAAATATCACATTGGCATAAGTATTCAGACTTTTTGCAACAATACTTGAAATTTAGCTCAGATGCTTCTCATTTCTCTTGATAGTTGCTGAAATGTTTCTGCATCTTAATTGGAGTCCACCTGTGGTAAATTAAATTGATTGGACATGATTTGGAAAGGCATAGAACTCTTTGCAGAAGGCCTCACAGCTGACAATGTATACTATAGTAGAGCAAAAGCCATGAGGTCAAAGAAACTGCCTGCAGAGGTCAAAGAAACTGCCTGCAAAAGCCATGAGGTCAAAGAAACTGCCTGCAGACACAGGCATAGATCTGGGAAAGGCTACACTAAAGTTTCTGCTGCACTGAAGGTTCCTAAGAGCGCAGTGGCCTCCATAATTCTCAAATGGAAAAAGTTTGGCACAACCAGGGCTCTACCAAGAGCTGGTTGCCTGGTCAAACGGGTAATTGAGGGAGAAGGGCCTTAGTTAAGAGAGGTGACCAAGAACCCTCTGAACTCCAGAGATCCTGTGTGGAGATGGGACAGAGTTCCAGAAGGACAACCATCAGTGCAGCCCTTCACCAATCTGGGTTTTATAGCAGAGTGGCTAGACAGAAGCATCTCCTCAGTGCCACATGAAAGCCCGCTTGGAGTTTGCAAAAAAGCACCTTCCTCAGACAGTGAGGAACCAGATTCTGTGGTCTGATGAAACCAAGATCGAACTGTTTTGGCCTCAATTCTAAATGTTATGTCTGAAGGAAATCAGGCACCACTCATAACCTGCTGAATATTATCCCAACAGTGAAGCATGGTGGTGGGAGCATCATGCTGTCAAGGTGTTTTTCAGTAGCAGGAGACTGGTCAGGGTTGAGGGAAAGCTGAACCAAGCAAAGTACAGGGATATTCTCAATGAAAATCTGTTCCACAGTGCTTGGGATCTCAGACTGGACTGAAGGTTCACTTTCCAATATGACAGCAATTTCAAAGTTGTTGCAAAAGATCTGAATACTTATGCTAATGTGATATTTCAGGTTTTTTTTTCTTTTTGATAAATTTACAGACATTTCTAAAATTCTGTTTTCAGTTTGTCTTTATGGGATACTGAATGTAGATTAATGAGAAAAAATGAATTTCAACAACTGTAGAATTAGGCTGCAGCATAACAAAATTGACCAAAAGTGAAGGGGGTCTGAATACTTTCTGAATGCACTGTAAATAAACAATGCAAATACAAGGCTTGTTCTGTTCAGTTGTAGTATAACACAATCACAGCTATCATGGTGTTCTCAGGAAAGCTAGGTATATAATGTTTACAGTGTTAATGCAATCTACAAAGGAAGTTGCCTAATCAAAAAATAAGGTAATGTTTGCCTGACGTGATTGATTTTTTTATGTTATCTATGATAGAATATTACTTTCGGAGTATTCATAAAGTGGTCATTTTTTTTAGAATCTTCTTGATGAGACTAATTTTAGTACCAAGGGTCTTTTTTTAAAAGCCTTTTTGAAGATAGAAATATTTTCCAATTATTTGGCTTTTCACCAGTTCTTCAGAGTAGTTTCTTAGAATTAATCTATGTAAATTTCTCCCTGACCGTCAGTGGTTAAAATGCAATGGGCTAGAGATTTAAACTCATTTAAGGATCTTGAGTTCAAGTCCCAATTTAGCTGGGTAATTTTGTGCCAGCCACTCTAAATAGGAAAAAGAGAATGAATTGGATACATTTACCACTTTGAGTTATTTATAAAAATAATAAAAGGTGAGATATAAATAAAGTTTGGGCCAGTCATTCTAAATAGGAAAAAGAGGATGAGTTTGATATGTTTGCCACTTTGAGTTATTTATAAAAATAATAAAGGTGAGATATAAATAAAGTTTAAAAAACAAACTCAATAAATATTCCATGAACATATACCTATCATCTTAAAGGTTTAGCCCTGCCCCTTCATACAGATTTGCGGAATTGCTTCACGGAAAAAAATAGTGTTTTATTGGAAGATATACATTAAGAAATTTTGATTTTTCTTTGCTACTATTTAGCATTTTGACATTCTTTATGAGCAAATGGTATATTGTTCCTTTGTTCTTAGCATCTTTTATTAACTTGTGTTCATTCCCAATTTTAACTTTCCCAGTACCATCCCAGGAAGGTAGGGCTACTGTTAAGCAGTCTTCCTTTATTTTTTTCAGAACTTTGTGAACTTTTTTGTATCTTCTGCTGCCCTTCAGGTTTTTACTGAAAGGAATTTCCAACTATGGAAGCCTATTTACCATTATGCTAATGCGATATTTCAGAGTTTTTTTTCTTTTTAATAAATCGTGGGTGAGGCGGGTTACCCTGCCTATTTTTGTAACGGAATGATCTTACAATCTTGAACAAATACACTTTGCTCTAAAAGGATTTATTTACATTATATGTGCAGTCTAAAGTGCAAGGAGGATGAATTTAGGAAGGTGTGATATCATCATGCAGCATTAAAAAAGAGAGTATCAGGTGTTTTTTCCTGAGTTATAGAACAAGAATCAGGTTTAAAAATAGACCAAGGTAATATAAGAAATTCACTAAATGAATAATTTTAGTGTGAGACATATGGTACATTTAAGTTATATAGATAGATGATAGATAGATAGATAGATAGATAGATAGATAGATAGATAGATAGATAGATAGATATAGATATAGATATATATGTTGTATTTGTGCTGATAAATAACCAGCCGAAGGACAGAGAATGGAAGTAGTGATCCTCCCATATTTGGGCATACCGGGGGTTGTAACTTTAATATATATGTTTAAACTATTTTTATCTGTTGTTATTAACTTATT